GGGGGAGAGGGCGCTAGCTCCACGTCTCCCTGATCTGCTGGGGGGAAGCACCCCCTGCACTGCCAGAGGTGGCGACAGTGGGGGAGGCACCCAGCACTAGCTGCGCCCCTCTCCCCCCTGTTCGTAACTAGGGATCCGACATAAGTCAGATTGATGTAACCCGGGGACTTCCTGTAGTATCCTGATGCAAAACTGAGATCTGACATTGCAGGTCCTGTATTTCTGGATATTTCATCCTTACAAATAGCTACCATCTGTGAAACCTGGCAGAACAGATACCATAAATATTATGTAAAAATTACACTTAGTCATGCACATGGTGACTTGTGTTTAACTGTTTAATAAAAGCCACCTCATTTTATGTAATATAATTAGCCTAATTTCTTATAAATGAAATAATATTTTAACAATAAGAGTCAATTTTCTATTTACAATATTAAAAAGTCAACTGGGGGCTGCACCCTCTGCTCGCTGTACTCTCCAAGCCCCCTCTCGCAGAGGACAGCAACCCCGGCTTTCTCCCCTGGCCACCTGGGAGGGCCGGGCTACAGCTGCACTAGCTCAGGTCCCTTCTGCCTTCCCCCGCAACACCAGTCCGGCCCCTTCTCCTCCCTGCCTCCAGCCTGGGCCCGTTTACCCTCCCCCCCCACCACACCAGCTCGGACACCTTCTTCCTCCCTTCCACTTCCCTTCCCCCCTCACCAGCCTGGGCCCCTTCTCCTCCCTGCCTCCAGCCTGGGCCCGTTTACCCTCCCCCCCCACCACACCAGCTCGGACACCTTCTTCCTCCCTTCCACTTCCCTTCCCCCCTCACCAGCCTGGGCCCCTTCTCCCTCCGCCATCTCCCCACCAGCTTGGACCCCTTTCTCTCCCCCGCAACCCTACCCCCCACCCCAGCCTCAGCACATGCCAGGCCCAGCTCTAACCCCAGCAGCTGGGGAGGTGCAGGGGTGTCTGCCTGCCCTGTGTGGGGCACAGGTAGTGCTGTGTGCATGCAGTGCTCTGGGGCACTGCACCCTGCTGAGGTGAGGAAGCAGCAGCAGCATGGGGGGCAACTGTCCCGACACCTCTACGAT